CTTACAGCACTTATTAGAATAGTGCTGTAAATGACATCTTAATTAAAAAATAAACAATTGCACATTATTGCCTGCCCCTATTTCCTAATTTGTTTCGTATAAGCATAAAAAAAACCCTTTTCTTTTTTTAAATTGGATGCCTAATTTGAAAAATCCACAGCGAATAGCGCCCAGTCCCACAGCTGGGGAGGAATGAGCTTGAAGGAAGAAGACTGAAGGCCTCCTGCACACAGCTAAGCAGCAGCTGTGCCGGAGGCCCTGGGTGACACCGGGGTGGTGGGACAGTGACACCCCATCACGCTTGTCATTAGCCCCACAGTAAGCAAATGACAGACACAGCATGTTGTCAAAACCACACTGGTCTAGGGAGGAACTGACAGGCGAGACTTTCTAAATTATAAACCGAATTCCTACTTGTGACAGGTGATGAAACCTCAATTTTTGTAAATTTGTTTTAAATCTCTTTCTCCCTCATCCCCTCGTTGAGGCAATAAAATCATCTAATTATTTTCTGTTTGGCTTTATAAATCCATTTCAAAGTCCCTATGGGAACGCTTACTTTGAGAATACAGCCAGGAGCTGCGTATTCATTAGAAAGGACTTTCTCCTCCTGTTTTAAAAAATACGTGGAAGATCTTCCACATATCCTGGGTTTACTTGACATTTTGCTTTTTGAAAAATTGGCCTCCGTGATCATAACTAGAGGCAGCAATACTCCACCAAATCTCAACCATCAGCACCTGCTCGGTGCCACCACGTTTGCAAGCAATTCCCCGTCTGCGCAAGGCACCCAACAGCCGCCAAGCTGCTGTGGTTTCAGCACCAGCCACCAGAAACCTCAGTTAAAGGTCAGGGTCTCTGAAGCAACCAAGGACTGGAAGGAAAATTATGGGGGAGACTTCCAAGGGAACGCGGGCGAAGGGGGCATGGTGATCCTGTAGCCCCCAGCTCTTCTCCTCTCTCCCTCGGGAGAGCGTCACAGGATTTAAAGTCCTGGTGCAGAAGGTCACTCATTAGCGTGAAGGGCTGCGTCTTAGAATCATTAAATCAGAGAAGGGTGTGGGTTGGAAGGGACCTTTAGAGGCCATCTAGTCCAACCCCCCTGCCACGAGCAGGGACATCTTCAACCAGATCAGGTTGCTCAGAGCCCCGTCCAACCTGGCCTTGGATGTTTCCAGGGATGGGGCATCAAATGCCTCTCTGGGCAATGCATTCCAGTGTTTCACCACCCTTGTCGTAAAAAATTTCTTCCTTACATCTAGTCTGAGCCTCCCTTCGTTTAGTTGAAAGCCTTTTCCCCTCGTCCTGTCACTGCAGGCCCTACTAAAAAGTCTGTCCCCACCTTCACCCAGCGTAAACTTTCAACAGGCTGAAACGGCACCTTTGAGGGAAAGCCCACCAGGATCAGCTGCCACAGCTCACGTTTAAAGGCTTCTGCTCCCAGCAGCCAGGTACTAGCTGTTTGCCGGCCGTAAATCTCCCATCGCCGCCTCCTCTGCCACACAGCACACATGGATTAACAGCAGCTTTCTACTTTTTAGGTTACGGCTGATCCGAAAGTCCCCAGAAGAAAGGGAGAGTTTCCTAAGCAGCATGACTGACAAGACTGCGAAGAGGGAGTTTATTCAGAGCATTATCTAATTCATTCCCCGGCGAAGGAAACTCATCTACTTTTGAGACTTAAAACTTCTAAAGAAAACTGCTATGATCTAAAGAGATTGGCCATAAAACTATTTGCATTGAAAACTTAGCCAGCACGCCTTCAGTGAACTTCATTCATTAACATTCTTCCTGGCAAGGTTTCCATATCTCAGCGTTCATTTTATACTTTAATTTGGTTAGTAGGTCTTTGTTTAATCGTCCTATTGAAAGGAGAACAAAGAAGGTTTAGGTGATACAGTGAAGTAATACACTATATTTTATCTCTAGAAAGCCCAGACGAAGTCAGCAGGCTCTGATACCCTCCGATTCAGGGGGTTTTTTATTCCTTTTCTCTTCCAGGACATTTGGAATCACAAATCAGTTGCGGAGCATAACGATCCTCACTGTACTTAGCTGTGGACACCTTCAGAAGAGAAACACCTTGTCAAGCAGAGAAATGATGCTTTGAGCACGACATACAGCCCCGAAGGAAGATTATCTCAGGAAAAGTGCATCCCCGTTACTCCAGGGATGGATGCTCTGCATTTATATCTCTGCCCTCCAATAAAAATCCGTAGTCAAGATAGCTTCCTCCATTTCTGAGCCTTGTGCTTACTGTCTCGATATTAACGACACGGGGTTTTTCCGGGTGCAAAACTCATTAACAAGTTGCGATTTTCCCTAGCGACTAACACGCTTCGCAGCGAGCACCCAGCACCACCGTTCTCTCCAGCGACCTGCAGGCACGGGCTGCCCTAAAGGAGGATTCACAGGATAAAAAGGATAAAACCCCCCCTGCCTCGTTTCACCAGAAACCGACCTGCTCCCCAGCCCCGACGTTGGCCGCACCAGCGGGCAGCTCCTGGGCTGGTGTAAACTGACACAGCTCCAGCTGACTCCCAACTGACTCCAGATAATAATCTGGCCCCAGAGTGAAGGCAGGATTCAACAAGCTTTTCTCACGGAATAGCTTTTACGCTCTTTTCTTGAATATTTGCTACCAGTACTTGCTGTACCGCTTAAACCCACTATGCATTGTGCATCAGTGAAGGGGGAGAACTGTATCTGTCTTCTCTTTACACCGCAGGCAGATGGAGAGTTGTCTTCTGACTGAAAGCTCCTTAATTCTTTAGCTAAACTTTTAACCAGTTCTACCCCAACTACCCGTGGAAATAGATGTTTTGCAGCAGCGGTGCTCACAACTGACTTTCCTCTTGGATGAAGCTGGCCTCCGAGGTGGAAAAACCACTCAGAGGCCCTGATGCTCTCCCAGGAACACCCAAAGAGCAAACCAGCCCACAACCCACCCGCCGGGCCCTCTTCCATGGACAGCAGTGTCCAAGACCCAAATCATAAGTGGATTCAGAGGAACACAAACACCGGACCCTAAAACCCAGCAGCGAACCAAGGGAGCGGCACTAACTGTGGCAGAGTTTACGGAGTAGCAGCACAACCCGTGAAGTTACAGCAGCCAGAACAAACATCTGGGGGAGCAGCTGGGCTTGCTCAGCATCGGGTGGTACCAGGGCAGTAAGGAAGGTCCGTGGCACACGGCTGCCCAGGGGGTAACTATTTTTGGAAGCCGATAATTCTTTTATAGCACCAATTCCCGATCCACACCAGCGTCAGTGGAAGGGGAGGCAGGCTCTGCATGGCTACGGACCAGGGCTGGCTTCAAACTGATGACCCGGAGGTGAAGGGCCCCCTTCTCCCGTTACTAATCCCGTCAGCCACACAAGCCTCCTGAAAATGATGCTTTGGTTTTATTGCCACAGGGGTCATTTATAAAATCATAAAACCCAGGGTAAGAAACCAACCCAGCGGCAGCAATGCACAAGTATGCCCAGAAATAGCTCAACGGCCGTCAAAAGGGCAGCGTCCAGCCCTCCCACGGCACCTTGAATAATTTAGTTGATTAAATGTGAGAAGTTCTGATTAACGGAGGGGAGGAGGAAATAGATAAACAACTTACCAAAAGCTAGTTCTTTATTATTGCGACCAGAAATGACCAAAGACTGGTTTTTGTATGTCTGCACATTACACGTGGAGAAGAACAAGAATCAGGTTTGCAACATTCAACAATTCAAAATAAAATAAAAAAAAAAATCAAACCCAAGAACTTTCTTGACTGGTAATTAGCAGGGACAATATAAATGAGGTGGCATTGAACAAAGAAGGTAACAGTGCACTTTTAATAACCCAATTTCATCCATATCTCCACTGATTTGCAATTTAACAGTTATATCAGCAAAGCCTCATTTCCCTAACCAGACTGGCACTTTTAAAAACATGACTAATTCATTCTCATTAATAGCAATTTGGATGCATTTAAAAAATAACTCTTAACATCTCTGTAACAGGTTAAAGGGCCATCTTCTCAAACATCAGATGTTTCTTGCCATACAGTTGAATGCAGAAATATCCCTAAATTAACCCATGAAGTCTGAAATTGCTTTGGAAATAAGAGGCACCAATTTTTTTCCAGATTTATTCTTATATTTTATTTAGCTCTGAGACCCATTGCACTCTACTATCTAATACTGATTATTTTTTTTTCCCCTCTGCAGTTTCCCCCCTCTTTTTCAACGGGGAATACACCTCATATTCACTTCCTCTATCTCTCCAAGGGGATACGCAAAGCGGAGTAGCACATCTGCGTGACACCATTCTGCTTCTCCTCCATCCAAACACGAGCCCGAGTGTTTCAGCACACCCCACACTTAAAAAAAAAAAAAAAAAAAAAAGGAAAAAAAGGAAAAAAGAAAAAAAAGCTCAGTTCCAGCTACAGATTAACACGCTGCAGCTACCATTAAAAGTGCAGAGCCCCCTGGCCTAAGCTCTCAATTCAGCAGGCATTTAAGCAGATGTATAACGAAGTGTGGGAACAGGCTCCTGGAAGGCAATAGGATTACTCACTTCTTAAGAAGTTACCACATGTTTAAGTATCTGAATCGAGGCCTAATTGTGGCGCTGGCCGACTCCTCGTGCGCGCACCGCTGGGGCAGATCTCGCCAATCCCTTAAAGCCATCAGGACAGGCGTACGTCGCACGGGCTTTTAATAGCTGCTAGGTTTGTATTCTCAGGTAAACGAAAATAAAAATTCTCAAGCCCTGAAAAAAGAATTAAAAAAAAAAAAAAAGTACTTTATAAATATCAGGTATTTACACGGGCAAAAATCTTTTAATGGGAAGTGTTTTTACACACCAATGAAATGTACAAGCAATGAAAAGGTACATTGACAAAGACTAAAAAACAAAAATCAAAGTATAAAATATATTACAGGTCCACCGAAATAAATTCACACGGAAGAAAAAAATTGACACAATAGAAACTTTTTTTTTTTTAAAAATAGAAGATATATCACAAAAGCTTGAACGTGTTTATTTTATGTTAGTACTAAAAATCAAGGAAAAAAGCTTCATATATTCTCGTCACAAAAATATTTACCAGCCACTTTTTATTTCCACATTACGATTATCTGGCTCAGCGGGAGCAGAGGCTGAACTGCATCCAGACAACAGAAATCATTCCAGAAGGTCTCCTCAGTTTACAACTTACTGCAATTTACATTTTCTCCTCCTCTAGGCACCTTACTGCAAAGGTTCAAGAGGGATTAATAACAAATCGAGAAAGGATAGGACAGGGATCTGTATTTACAACATTCATCTTTGTTGCTGCCGAGCCACGGGAGCGGGAGCGGTACCGTGAACTACCGAAGTCTTCGTATCGCTCTGTGCAAATTCCCCTCGGTAGGTGAAAGGCAGCATCAGAACGTACCAAACCCAGCGGCCCGGGCTCGGACGGTCTGCGAAACGCAACAGTCCCCACGGGAGAGCCATCTCCCCGCCCCCCGAATCACCGCCCCCCCGGCCAGCCGAAGAGGGAGGGCGAGACACGAGGAGGCTGGATCCCCCCTGCAACGGAGTCGGGGCAGCGGGGGCCGCGGCGACCGCGCGACTCCAACCCGCCGCGAAGCCTTCAGTCAGCCCTGTGCTTCCTCTTCTTGTGTTTTTTATCCTTCTTTTTGCTGGCACACTTGGAGCAGAACCATTGCACCTCTTCTGGCGGAGCAGTCGTGATCCCGACGCAAGGCCTGGGAAGGACAGGAAAATATCGTACCGGCTCAGCGGAGTCACGGCACTTTTGTTCCTCACCCTTGAAAGCCATCAAACTTTCCAGTGGGAGACACAATCTGGCCTCCAAACTAATACAGTAATTATATTATCATTAACTTAATGAATATAATGATCGAACAGAAACCTAAAAAACGTTTGCTTTGAAACAAGAAAAAAAAATATAGAAATGATATTCAGATAAGAAAAATTATTTTAGCAGAAAATATGAGAGCATTTTCAGGTATAATAGGCTAGATTTAAAATAATTTCAGATGCTTCTCTAATACATCTGCAAAAAACCTTATGATTTTATGTAGCTGTTTAAGAAAAAGCCTAAAAAGTGATTAATTCCCTCCAACTCTTTTATAAGAGCTGACATTTATATTACTGCTCATACAATGCTTCATAATTTGAAATGTCTATCTGTATACACTACGCTCATAATCCTGTAGTTCTCACAAAATTACCAGAATCAGCAATATTTCCCAGCAGTTTCAAAAACAACCGTTATCACCAATGCCCATTAATTAAAAAGTCTCTCTCCTTCACAGCTTAAAATCTGCTTTTTTCAAGTTGTAGAGAAACAGAGATAAAAATATCTTCCAGATTATTAAATTGGACAAAGCAAAGCCATTCAGATATTCCCAGCATCACGAAGCATTAAAAAAAAAAAGGTTTTAATACTATTTTAATACTATAGCTCCAACCTGCCAGGGCTGGGCAGGGTAGGACGGATGGGAGCAACTTACCAGTGATACCAATCATCGCAGTCGTCACAACCTATCATTGGACTGCCATCATCTGGCTTGTTACAGCCAGGGCAGATCCAGATCTGGTTACCCGACTCGTCTCGGATCTGGTGCAAAGAAAAGGAACGTTAGGTAGTTTTCAGGGTTAGGCAGGCAGCAAAGTTGACATTAAAAAAAAAAAAAAAGAAAAGAGTTTCTTGCTTATTCGACGAAGCCATTCAGCGGTCGCTGCTGTTATTTATGAATTCTCTGATCACAAGTGCTCACAGTTATATTTTCATTTATTTCTCTATACTGTGTTGACAAAAGCATGCATTTTTCTGTACTGTCATGTAAACCAGTAAAGCCAGTTACATCACCCGACCCAAGCACAGATCTTCACATATAGCAGCCGGGGCTTAAGGACACAATTCCTTCTCTGTCTATACTACTGCAACTTTCTAAATTCTACCCCGCTAATGGCAAGAGGGAGCAGCGGCAGCCTCCTGTGTAAGATAACAGCCCTATATGCATGTAAAATATACAGTGCCATGTGTATATATTGCTGTATTACTTATTAGCCAAAGGCTTCAACTTCAACTAGCTGATAAGATCAGGATATAAAAAAAGTTGTTACTGAGTAACTTTCCATTCCCCTGATGACATTTATGTCACAGTACAATTTACTAAAGGGTAAACGAAACAAGAGAGGCAGATCATTTACAGTATTAGGCAGCTGCTTACTGGATTTATCATATTCAGAGCTTTATGAAATTTTTTTAATGTTTATATCCTGCTAGACCCATTATTTGTATTTTTAAATGTCAAGTGGTTTCTTTACCAGTTCTTTGGTAAAAACACACATGCAAAATGTCATGAAATCCACCCAAAGAAGTGCAGTTAACAATACAAAGTACAAAATGTCTGGGTTATTACCCTGATTTCATCATTTCTTCATGAAGATTTGCACATTATCACTGAATCTCAGAAACATCAACTGTTTTGTTCTCAGCTTTTGTGCATTGGTGCATTTACACGTATCCAAGGCAATAACTTCTTGCTATCTGTACAGCTTACAAAAACAGTATTAAAAAGTAGTAGATGAAAAGCCCTAAATGCCCTGAGGAAAAAGAAAAAAAAAAAGCTACTCCACGGTGGTCTGTACAACTTACACCACCTCCCAAAAAATCAATAGGAATGTACTAGAGCTGCAACCAACACATCACTCTCAACTGACTCCTCTTAAAACCCTGAATTTTTTGGTGGTTTAAACCTAGAAAATACAAAGCCCAGCAATATTAGGCAGGGAACAATCCCCTTCCCAACAGCGAAATGGAGCAGGCGATGTCATACAACGCACTCGACTATAAAGCTGATCGATTGCGATAACCACTCCTATCTACGCATCTCATCTCATATCTCCAAAGTGATTTTAAGCTGGTAGAGCAGCATCTGCTTGGCAGGTGAAAGCGTGCAAGGCTCCGTGGCCGTTTCTGCAGGACAATCCTGCCGGGGAAGGAGGAGATGCTGCAC